AAAAAAGTCGAGTTCGGCCCCGTCCATCACCACACATCCACAGGTCTCCCGGGCGGTCCAGGGTGCTCATTTCAGCCAGCGGACTCGGCGCTTTCCACATACCGCGACCATCCCGCCGGAGAATTCGCCGATGACGCACTTGGGGCCGCCTCGAGGGGCAAAAAACGCGGAAAATCCGCCCAACGCTCCGCCCTAACTTTTTCGATTTCTTCCAACTTGGCCGGGTCCGTCACAGAGCTGCAGGGCACCACCCGAGCTCCGGGTTGCTTCGTTGCACGCGCATGGTCCATGCCCAGCAGGACTATGCTCGCCGTGTTTCCGGGGACGCCGGGGTGCGGTAGCTTGGGGCGCCCCAAAGCGGTCCGACGGCGCTTCGGGCCAGCCCAGGCCCTCCACCCGCACCGGTGCCAACTTGGCCGGGTCGCACACAGAGCTGCAGGGCACCATTTTTGCAGTGGATTGTTTTGTTGCATTCAGCCCGTCCGGCGCAAGAGAAACCGCGTGCGCGGCGCCTCGGGCGACACCCGGGTCCGCTGGCTTGGCGCGCCCCAAAGCGGCACAAGGGCGTCCCGGTGTGGGCGCCAGCCGCCACCCCACCGGGGAGAGAGACCCCGCCGCGCCAGCACAAAAAAAATGTAGGGCTCCGCCCTACCCCAAAATTTCGCCAGCCTTTCGGTCTGGAAGCTTCTCATACCAATAAAGTACAGAAACTGATACTTATATAGCGTTAGTTACTAAGTTCCAATTTGCCGGCTGGCAAAATGAGGGGGGTGGGGAAGCACACCGGCCATGCACCCCATGCTAGGACAACCCCCTCCCGGCAGGCACCCGGCGGCTCGTGCGGGAGTGCCGTGCAAGCTTATCGCTCGGTTGTTTCGGCGGTGCACGCGTCTGGAGGCGCTGAGCACGCGGTGCACCGGGTTTGGCGCAAATGGTTGGGCGGTCGTGCGCGTTCGCGTGTGCGGGCAAAAAGTGCGCGGCGGGCGCCGGGCTATGGGATTGCCTAGGGGGGCCCGGCTAGGGCGGGGTGGATACCGCGGCCCGCCAACGAAAGAAAAAAAAAAAAAAAGAAAAAAGTCGAGTTCGGCCCCGTCCATCACCACACATCCACAGGTCTCCCGGGCGGTCCAGGGTGCTCATTTCAGCCAGCGGACTCGGCGCTTTCCACATACCGCGACCATCCCGCCGGAGAATTCGCCGATGACGCACTTGGGGCCGCCTCGAGGGGCAAAAAACGCGGAAAATCCGCCCAACGCTCCGCCCTAACTTTTTCGATTTCTTCCAACTTGGCCGGGTCCGTCACAGAGCTGCAGGGCACCACCCGAGCTCCGGGTTGCTTCGTTGCACGCGCATGGTCCATGCCCAGCAGGACTATGCTCGCCGTGTTTCCGGGGACGCCGGGGTGCGGTAGCTTGGGGCGCCCCAAAGCGGTCCGACGGCGCTTCGGGCCAGCCCAGGCCCTCCACCCGCACCGGTGCCAACTTGGCCGGGTCGCACACAGAGCTGCAGGGCACCATTTTTGCAGTGGATTGTTTTGTTGCATTCAGCCCGTCCGGCGCAAGAGAAACCGCGTGCGCGGCGCCTCGGGCGACACCCGGGTCCGCTGGCTTGGCGCGCCCCAAAGCGGCACAAGGGCGTCCCGGTGTGGGCGCCAGCCGCCACCCCACCGGGGAGAGAGACCCCGCCGCGCCAGCACAAAAAAAATGTAGGGCTCCGCCCTACCCCAAAATTTCGCCAGCCTTTCGGTCTGGAAGCTTCTCATACCAATAAAGTACAGAAACTGATACTTATATAGCGTTAGTTACTAAGTTCCAATTTGCCGGCTGGCAAAATGAGGGGGGTGGGGAAGCACACCGGCCATGCACCCCATGCTAGGACAACCCCCTCCCGGCAGGCACCCGGCGGCTCGTGCGGGAGTGCCGTGCAAGCTTATCGCTCGGTTGTTTCGGCGGTGCACGCGTCTGGAGGCGCTGAGCACGCGGTGCACCGGGTTTGGCGCAAATGGTTGGGCGGTCGTGCGCGTTCGCGTGTGCGGGCAAAAAGTGCGCGGCGGGCGCCGGGCTATGGGATTGCCTAGGGGGGCCCGGCTAGGGCGGGGTGGATACCGCGGCCCGCCAACGAAAGAAAAAAAAAAAAAAAGAAAAAAGTCGAGTTCGGCCCCGTCCATCACCACACATCCACAGGTCTCCCGGGCGGTCCAGGGTGCTCATTTCAGCCAGCGGACTCGGCGCTTTCCACATACCGCGACCATCCCGCCGGAGAATTCGCCGATGACGCACTTGGGGCCGCCTCGAGGGGCAAAAAACGCGGAAAATCCGCCCAACGCTCCGCCCTAACTTTTTCGATTTCTTCCAACTTGGCCGGGTCCGTCACAGAGCTGCAGGGCACCACCCGAGCTCCGGGTTGCTTCGTTGCACGCGCATGGTCCATGCCCAGCAGGACTATGCTCGCCGTGTTTCCGGGGACGCCGGGGTGCGGTAGCTTGGGGCGCCCCAAAGCGGTCCGACGGCGCTTCGGGCCAGCCCAGGCCCTCCACCCGCACCGGTGCCAACTTGGCCGGGTCGCACACAGAGCTGCAGGGCACCATTTTTGCAGTGGATTGTTTTGTTGCATTCAGCCCGTCCGGCGCAAGAGAAACCGCGTGCGCGGCGCCTCGGGCGACACCCGGGTCCGCTGGCTTGGCGCGCCCCAAAGCGGCACAAGGGCGTCCCGGTGTGGGCGCCAGCCGCCACCCCACCGGGGAGAGAGACCCCGCCGCGCCAGCACAAAAAAAATGTAGGGCTCCGCCCTACCCCAAAATTTCGCCAGCCTTTCGGTCTGGAAGCTTCTCATACCAATAAAGTACAGAAACTGATACTTATATAGCGTTAGTTACTAAGTTCCAATTTGCCGGCTGGCAAAATGAGGGGGGTGGGGAAGCACACCGGCCATGCACCCCATGCTAGGACAACCCCCTCCCGGCAGGCACCCGGCGGCTCGTGCGGGAGTGCCGTGCAAGCTTATCGCTCGGTTGTTTCGGCGGTGCACGCGTCTGGAGGCGCTGAGCACGCGGTGCACCGGGTTTGGCGCAAATGGTTGGGCGGTCGTGCGCGTTCGCGTGTGCGGGCAAAAAGTGCGCGGCGGGCGCCGGGCTATGGGATTGCCTAGGGGGGCCCGGCTAGGGCGGGGTGGATACCGCGGCCCGCCAACGAAAGAAAAAAAAAAAAAAAGAAAAAAGTCGAGTTCGGCCCCGTCCATCACCACACATCCACAGGTCTCCCGGGCGGTCCAGGGTGCTCATTTCAGCCAGCGGACTCGGCGCTTTCCACATACCGCGACCATCCCGCCGGAGAATTCGCCGATGACGCACTTGGGGCCGCCTCGAGGGGCAAAAAACGCGGAAAATCCGCCCAACGCTCCGCCCTAACTTTTTCGATTTCTTCCAACTTGGCCGGGTCCGTCACAGAGCTGCAGGGCACCACCCGAGCTCCGGGTTGCTTCGTTGCACGCGCATGGTCCATGCCCAGCAGGACTATGCTCGCCGTGTTTCCGGGGACGCCGGGGTGCGGTAGCTTGGGGCGCCCCAAAGCGGTCCGACGGCGCTTCGGGCCAGCCCAGGCCCTCCACCCGCACCGGTGCCAACTTGGCCGGGTCGCACACAGAGCTGCAGGGCACCATTTTTGCAGTGGATTGTTTTGTTGCATTCAGCCCGTCCGGCGCAAGAGAAACCGCGTGCGCGGCGCCTCGGGCGACACCCGGGTCCGCTGGCTTGGCGCGCCCCAAAGCGGCACAAGGGCGTCCCGGTGTGGGCGCCAGCCGCCACCCCACCGGGGAGAGAGACCCCGCCGCGCCAGCACAAAAAAAATGTAGGGCTCCGCCCTACCCCAAAATTTCGCCAGCCTTTCGGTCTGGAAGCTTCTCATACCAATAAAGTACAGAAACTGATACTTATATAGCGTTAGTTACTAAGTTCCAATTTGCCGGCTGGCAAAATGAGGGGGGTGGGGAAGCACACCGGCCATGCACCCCATGCTAGGACAACCCCCTCCCGGCAGGCACCCGGCGGCTCGTGCGGGAGTGCCGTGCAAGCTTATCGCTCGGTTGTTTCGGCGGTGCACGCGTCTGGAGGCGCTGAGCACGCGGTGCACCGGGTTTGGCGCAAATGGTTGGGCGGTCGTGCGCGTTCGCGTGTGCGGGCAAAAAGTGCGCGGCGGGCGCCGGGCTATGGGATTGCCTAGGGGGGCCCGGCTAGGGCGGGGTGGATACCGCGGCCCGCCAACGAAAGAAAAAAAAAAAAAAAGAAAAAAGTCGAGTTCGGCCCCGTCCATCACCACACATCCACAGGTCTCCCGGGCGGTCCAGGGTGCTCATTTCAGCCAGCGGACTCGGCGCTTTCCACATACCGCGACCATCCCGCCGGAGAATTCGCCGATGACGCACTTGGGGCCGCCTCGAGGGGCAAAAAACGCGGAAAATCCGCCCAACGCTCCGCCCTAACTTTTTCGATTTCTTCCAACTTGGCCGGGTCCGTCACAGAGCTGCAGGGCACCACCCGAGCTCCGGGTTGCTTCGTTGCACGCGCATGGTCCATGCCCAGCAGGACTATGCTCGCCGTGTTTCCGGGGACGCCGGGGTGCGGTAGCTTGGGGCGCCCCAAAGCGGTCCGACGGCGCTTCGGGCCAGCCCAGGCCCTCCACCCGCACCGGTGCCAACTTGGCCGGGTCGCACACAGAGCTGCAGGGCACCATTTTTGCAGTGGATTGTTTTGTTGCATTCAGCCCGTCCGGCGCAAGAGAAACCGCGTGCGCGGCGCCTCGGGCGACACCCGGGTCCGCTGGCTTGGCGCGCCCCAAAGCGGCACAAGGGCGTCCCGGTGTGGGCGCCAGCCGCCACCCCACCGGGGAGAGAGACCCCGCCGCGCCAGCACAAAAAAAATGTAGGGCTCCGCCCTACCCCAAAATTTCGCCAGCCTTTCGGTCTGGAAGCTTCTCATACCAATAAAGTACAGAAACTGATACTTATATATTTTTTTTTTTTTATTTTTTTTTTTTTTGGGTCACGCTCCAGCCAACGCGTGGCACCAGTCTTTGCCATGAGGACTGAAAAACGAACTTAATTAGCGTTCCAAAAACCCAGCGCCCTATGTTAGTGCAAAGCCCTATTCAGACCAGTGGAAGTAATCATGGGTTTATTCAAATAGTAAAAACGAGAAAGAACAGTACAGCGATGGAAAAAGGAAAACGAAAAAGAAAAAGAAACAAGAAAACAAAAAACACAAGCACAAACTACGGAAGCAAAGAGGCGATTGCGCCAGCGATCCACTTAGAGGTGGGAAAGCGAGGCGCAGTCCAGTACACTATTGCTCCAACAAGTGAGCTTATATGAAAAGTAACAACCGGAAGCTACCACATCCGGGGCCGCCTTTGCCGACCCATCCCTCAATCCACTCTCCTCTGCAGCGACCGTGCCCACACATTCTTCACAGCGGCGAACTGGAAGGAATTCCCCTCGTGGACTGCCTGACAGACCGCCGACAGGAGCTCGCTCAGTGCCGTCCGGGCTGAGTAGGGGAAGGGCATCGACCCGGCAACAGCTAACATCCACGCGAAGCTTTCCTTGTGGAGTCCGCCGGTGGACTCCAGCGACACCGGTGCGAACACGGTGCCGCTCTCGTGCGCCCAGTTGGCCCACTTGCGCTTTTTCTCCCCGTGTGACTGTTGGAGAGGGCTCTGGGCGTCGCCGCACGAGCGACCGGGGTAGGTGACGACGACGTCCGTCGCGAATGTCTCCCCCGCGGTCGCAATGGTCAGGTCCAGCCGCTCGCGGTTGGCTGTCCCGACCCGGGGTTCCACGACCGTGGAGAGCCCCAGCTGCTTCGCCCACGCGTCGATGGCCATGACGACGCGATTGTGGCGGCTGATGCGTGGCCCACCCGGCAGGGCAGGGCACACATTCACGTGTGCGTTGTCTGCGTCGGCGCCGCATGCACAACACACACCGGGACGAAGTACCCGCAGCATGAGTCGCTGGCGGATCATCACCTCGAACGCGGAGTCCGGAAGATGGACGGCGGGGTCCACCAGCGCGCGCGTGGCACCAGGGGCGGCATTGGCTTTGAGGAGGGCGAGGCAAGGCTCCGAAAGGAGAGGAAGTAGGGTCTCGCGGACCTCTTTGTCAACGACGCGGGTCTGGTCCCGCTGCGCGCTTTTCCGGCCTACGCTGGCCGCCGCGAACTTCGAGATGGCGGTCTGCGACCGCAGGCCTAGGCCGCCCATGACCATGGGCAGCTTGGCGATGAGGTGGGCGGTGTTGTCTGGTGCCGCGTCGCCCACCAGCGCCGACAGCACCCGCAGCACCCGTTGATCAAACCAGGTGGCGCTGCGCTCCAACTCCTGCGGGCAGTGTGTCCGCAGGAGGAACGTGAGACGAGGGAGGGCGGATGCCCTCAGGAGGTTGAGCCTGGAGTGGCGCGGCAACTTGTCGTCCTCAAGCGCCGCGAAGTAAGACTCGTATTTCTGGGTCTTATCCCACACCCACTCCTCTACCGGTGCGCTGTTGCCCTGCAACCCAGCTCCGAGGATCCGAACAACGTCTGTGGCGACCGGCACGACCGTGCCTGCCACCGTCACCGGGACCGGCGCCACCATTTTGGACAGGTGGTGGCTTTTCGCCGGATTGATGTCAAACCCAACATTCGACAGCAGGGGACCAGCAGCGTCCAGGAACAGCTGGACATCCCTGCGCGGGCCGACGACCGTCAGGTCGTCCAGGTATGCGGTGACCTTCACCGTCTTGTGGCTGGCGATGAGCGGGCGCAGTACCTCCTCCATTGCTGTGGCAAAGAGGAGCGGCCCCAGGACCATCCCCTGTCGGACACCCCGCGTCGACGCCAGCTCTTGCGTCCGGCGTCCGTGCTCGTAGACGCCGAGGGCACCCGGTTCTCCCAGTGCGATGTCCACCACCCCGAACGCGGGGCGCAACTCCTCGTGGGAGTAGAACGCACTCAGGATGTGCGCGCGGGACATTCGGTTGTACGCGTTTGTCGCGTCTAAAGCGACCAGCGTGTCGGCTGACGCGCTCGCGTACGCTGCCCGGATCTGCTTGACTGCAGCGGCTGCGTCACCCCACACCCCAAACTGCCACCCGCGGAAGACCTCCCGGAATGACTTTGGTACCGCGTCGAGGGCGACGTGTGAGGCGATCTTGAGAATCGCCGACTCCGGCGTGATCGGCCGGACCTTCGGCGACCCCGCTTCCTTCAGAAACGGGTGAAGAACACAGGCCCGCAGCCTGAACGCGAAGGATGGCGACACCCTTCCTGAGAGGATGTCCTGCAGGAGCGTCGTGAACTCCTGTAGCAGATTCTTGTTCTCTGCTACTGGGATCAGCAACTCCCGCGTCCACCCGTCGAGTCCCGGTGCGGACGCGCGACCGAGACGCTGCACGATGGCCCTCGAGACCTTCTCGGGCTTCAGGCCGTGCATGAACGGGACCTGCGGCGGCATGGGGTGACCAGCCGGGTCCTCCTGGGGGTGCAGTTCCTGCAGCTGCTCCACCACGTCGCTGACGCGGGCGCGCGGCAGCTGTGCGTGGAAGAGCGTCCGTGCCGCCTTCCCCAGTGCACCGAGGGAAATCTGGTGGAGGATGCGCTTGTTGCGCTTCTCCTCCGGCGTGAGCTGCCGTGTCGTGGGCAGCTCCTCCTCCGTGTTGCGCTGGCGTTGGTCGTCGCCAGCCGCAACCCCCTCGGTGCCGCTCCTCGGCGCCTCCTCGGCACCCTCCGGCTGTGGCTTGGCCAGTCGAGTGCGCACCAGAGTCGTCATGGCGATCTGGCGTCGGTGGCGCTCCTGCTGCGTCGCAGCCGTGTAGCCCAGGAGCGTCTGGCCCACGGCTTCACACCAAACCCCCCACTCCTGCTTGCGCAGGGTGCGGATGGTGGGGGGGCACGTCTTCACCCACTCGAGGTCCTCCTCGGTGGGTGGCTCGCGGCGCCTTTGCTGTGGCGCCACCGTCGGCGGCGTGTCCGCGACGTCGTCCTCCCCTTCCACGGGCGTGGCAGGGTCTTGCCGTGCCCGCTTGCTGTTGCGAACCGCACGCGTCTCGTACGGTCCGCACTTGGGGAGGTGTGCTGCGCGTCCGCGCCGGGACGCAACGACGAACTGCCCGCACACGAGGCAGCGGTCCAGTCCTGCCCGCTTCAGGGCCTCGGCACCACACCGTTCTTGGCCATGGGTGTGGTTGGCGTGGTCCGTCTGCTGGGCCCGGCGTGCGGCCGAGGTCCAGCGGTGGGCGCAGAACGGGCAGCTGAGCCCTTCTGCTGGGGCAATATGCACGTTGTCTCCGTGCAGAAACTGCCCCTCCGGCTGCACCAGCTCGATGTCATCCGAGCTAGTGCCGTCCTCCCCATCTTCTTCAGCCCTCCTGGCCGGGGGAGTGTCAGGGATGGTGAGGGGGTGGTTTGGGAGGGGGTGTGGTGATGGGGCGGTGGGTTGGTCTTCCTCCGCCTCGTCCTCGTCGTCTGGGACTGTGTCTGCGGATCCCTCCGGCAGAACAATCCCGAACAACTCGTGACCATACTCATCCGTCCCTAGGCTAGTGGGCGGTGGCGGCGGCGGCGGCGGCGGCGGCGGCGCGCCCGCCGGCCGACCGTTACTGTGCTCTTCGTCTTCGTTGTCCCCCTCTCCGACGTCGTGGCGGATCGGAACTGGCAGGTAGAGCAGCATGCGAACCTTTGCTGCGTCCGGAGCCTTGACTCCTTTTGTATGAACGGTTCCGTCATACAAATGCCAGTACGTGGTTTCCTCCACCCGCTCGGCGACGTATGCGACCAGGTGCGTCGGCGTGGTTACACACAGTGCGGCGTGGAGGATGAAGGGCGTCGCCGCCAGCGGCCGGGTGGCAAACCCGACCTCCAGCGGTATCTCCGGGAGCCCTCGGTTGTTTGGCTGTGTCGGTGGCGGGACAACGGTCACCGCTACGGCGTTGTGGAAGAGGTAGTGCACCATATTGACGCACGGCTGTGCATCGCAGCCGCAGACGCTGCAGTATTGCACTGCGTCCGTCGCCTCTGGTCCAAATGCGTTCTCTAAGGCCTTGGCTGTGCCTCCCTGTGGCGAGCCCGGCGGGGCCGTGTAAGTGAGGACCCCTGAGCTCTTCACCCGCGGTCCCTCGATCGTGGTTCCGCATGTTTTACAGAATGTATCGTGACATTCTGTCGCTCCGAAAAAGGCGTCCGTCGCCGCGTCACGTGCGGCAAGTGCTCCCAGGACAGCTGCCGGGGAGTTTGGTAGCCTAAGGTTCAAGGCCTGGAGGAAAGCCCTGGAGTCTTCGGCGGAAGACGTCCGGAAGGCTTTTCGGAGGATATCGTTCTGTTGATATCCCCCAGTGACGGTGGCGAGCGCGGCGACGACCGCGGTTACCGAGCAGGATGGCCCGATGTTCGCCATGCCTCCCGTGTACCGCGAGAGGCCAAAACGCCGTGGAACGGCCCCGGACCCGGGGTGGCGTTCGCGTATGTGTTTCTGGACGTCCTCTTCGGCGTCACTTGCAAACGTGCAAGCCGCCCCGGTGACGTCCACCGCCGTGCAATAAAAATACGCCTGGTGAACTGGGTTCGCCCAGGCGTAATGGCGCTGCAGAATTGACGCATGGCGCTCCATCAAGCGCCCCGCCAACTCTGTGTGCTCGGCAATTGCCTTGTCGAGCACCGCCGCTGTTGCGTATTGTGCCGCCAGTTGGTCGAACTGCGGCATCTGCGACTTCTCCTCGGTCTTTGAGGGCCCAATGTTCCTTGTGTTGGGCTCCTTGGTGGTCTTTTTCGGGCTCTTGGAAAAGGTTCGTCCCGGCGGGGATTGAACCTCCTTCTTGCCTCCGGTCTTTTTCGGGCTCTTGGAAAAGGTTCGTCCCGACGGGGATTGAACCTTCTTCTTTCCGCCCACCGACCGCCCCCGAGAGTTTTTACCTGCCATTATGTTGAAAAAACAAAATTTTTATGTGTGTTTTTTCGTGAAACCGCTAAGACAAAATTAGTGTAGAAAACAAAAAAAAATGCGGATTTCACTTTTTATTTTTTAAAAAACAAAATTTGCGCAGGGCTTCGCGGGGACGAGGTTCTGGAACCTTTTTCCTCGGAACAACGACCCCAGATCGCTGCCAAATATAGTCCCGAGTTTTGGTTCCAACGACCACGCGCGTGTGGTGGCTGGGGCTTTTATATAAGTTAAAAGGAACAAATTTGGCTTTAAGACCTGCACAGAAGACCTAAACAAGACGAAGACAATGAAAAAACTACGTAAAAAACTTATCCGAGTTTTTTATTTTGGAGAGAAGCACTGTGCCCAGTTGATGCCGGATGGTGGTGCCGTGTGGCTAGCCATGCCACACATTGGTAGCACCGTCTGGAAGTCAACGACCATTACTCCGTGGTATTGGGCGCCCCCTAAAGTTGCGATGAGGGTATACTGGTGGACAATGGTGTAGACGTCGGGGAATTCGTGGCGCTTCACTGCGCAACATTGCCAGGGGATACGAACAAGGTGTGGTGATCGCGCATGCGAGCCTTGGAATGGCACGCCTCTCCCGTTTTCGGTATTCCTGGCTGCGCTTGTACGCGGTAAGGTGGTTTAGCCTGCTCAGAAAACCGGCTAGGCATACTAATTCCTGTCGTTTCATCTCGACCGACGTTGTCCGATGCACCTGGATATTGGTGCAAGCTGCGGCCTGCTGCTGCAGCTTAAGGAAGTGGACGCCATGTATGCCGCAGCACTGACATAGGAGTTACCTTGGCGGTTTCCTCGGGAAGTAATTGCCCGAAAACCCGGCGAAGCCCCGTGAGGGCCAAGGACAGTCACGGTTCTCGCCGTGACGAAACATTCGCTATCCGGCACCCAGCAGAAACCGCTTTGCGTCGCGTAGAGCATAATTCGCTTAGCACTGGGTCTAGTACACTCTAAGACTGGACGTCGGAACCTCTCCGCTCCGAAAGGGGTTGAGAAACAAAAACGGTGGTGGGCAAGGGTCTTCTGCCGACGTTCCCGGCATCCAAAGGGAAGATCCTCATCCATTCAATATGGGTGTGCAGTCAACAGGCCCGCTCACAAATCTTTCCCGAGCGTGACTTCAAAATCAAATGCTGCAGGACACCGAAGCATGGGAGGAGGATGACTAGGGCATGGGTGCCAGGAGTGCCTGTCTGTGTGGGATGTGTGGATGTGAGCTCGGAAGGGTGGCATGTTTATATATTTCTCCTCGTTTCTGTTTTCAAAGACTTGCACGCAGGCCTACATGAAAAAAAAAAGAGAAGCACTGTGATTGGTACAGAAACTGATACTTATTTTGTTTGTTTGTTTTTGTCTTGCTTGAGGTACGGGTTGCGGATAAAGGGGGCAAGAAGAAACGCGCTTTACCTGCCTGTCGTGTGCCGTCTCACGTCGTTCACGCCGGCGGTCCTGCAGCATTACATTTGTTTCACTTCATTTTTTCTTTTATGGCTGTTAAGCCTCGAATCCCCACGGGATCGAACGATACAGTCTGAAAATCCATAGGTGAGGCTAAATAAACCAACTTGCTTGACAGAAAGAAAGCAAGAAGAATGATAGTAGTTTAAGTAAACCTTCAGTAAGCTTTTGAGGGGGGGAGCGTATGAAGGCGAGTGACCTCTCAACTTAGCATTGATCTGACACTCTTAACTCCATACGTCGCAAACCTCCTTTACAATGCTTTTGGAGTACAACCAGCTCCAATTTCCAACCCTCTTTAAATCTTTTCTCCATTGTTGAATTAATTGCTGGGCGTCGAAAGACCCTACAAGCCTGTCGCGCCCATCCCCAAACAACACAAAAACGGTTCTTTGAACCCTTTAAGAAAGAAAATGAGAGTTTTGAATCGCGCACAATAAAGTATAAATATTTGCTCAGAAGACAACAAAAGAAAAAAAACGGGAACCCCGCGCACACCTCGGCTTCCTCTGGGTTTGGGTGGGTGGGTCGAAAACAATCCATGCGGAGTATTATTTGGACACCGTAGAACTCCACGTCGTTAGCTACAATCTTCACTACGACCTACGTGCAAGAGTATTAGGACGCGGGTAAACAAAGAATAGCATAACGGTGCCGGGATTCTTTCCTATCATCCAGATTTGTTCCCCCGAGCACTCTATGTTCCCACTTATTACAAACAAACTAAGATATAACCCGATAACAGAACGCCTTACTGTTTTCACAAGAAATCTTTGCCTCTGTGGTGTACTCCGAGGCGGAGCTAAACTTTTGCGCAGAGCTTATGATCTCCGATGTAATATCCATAACATCCTAATCTCTCTTTCAGACGCTGTGGCGAGGGGCTGACGGAGCTCGCCTACTTCACTCCTACGACAAGCTGATACGTGAAGGTGCGCTATGTTTTTTGTTGCTGTTGTTGGGTTCGTGGCGTGGGTATTTGTTTGTCCTATTGCCTAACCCGCCATCTTCTGTTTCCGTATCTCGGTGTCTATTTGTTTTCTGCCGGTGCTTCTATTTTCTGTTTCTGGTTTGTCTGCGCCTCCTCCGTTGTGCCTACGCTTTTCTTTTTTCCTTTTGCTCCATTAGTTTAGTTGTGTGGTAGTTGGTAATTAGATAGGTGTTGGTTTGTTCTCGTGAGCGGCGCTGGTTCGGTTGTGCGGCTGGGGTCTGGTGGCGCCTGGGCGGTACAATAGGGTGGAGGCTGGGTTGCATTACCGAGGCCGAAGGCCGAGGTCATCGAATGGCACAAGCCTTGTCGCTCTGCGATGGATAAGCTGTCTGGTTGGTGTATTTCCTTCTGTTCCCCCTCCGCTCTGCCGGGGGGAAAGTGGATATGGCTGGTGAAGAACCGGCCGGAGGTTGTTGTGGCATAAAGTGCGGAAAGCAGTCGCTCATCTCGCCCATCTCTCTTCTCTCTTCTCTCCTCTCTCTCTGTCTCTCTCTCTGCGACGTGCTATTCGTGCGATTATCGATGACTATCGACGACTATCGACGAAGTAGCGAAGCTTGGGAGTGCTGAAACTCTGTCAAGAGATTTTCAGATGTGAATGAGGCGCCTCCCGGAGCCCCACGAAGGGAGAGCGAC